GATCTGAGGCTGCGTTTTCGGTACGGATTTCACTTTTTTCTTACTTTTTACACTGGACAGATCACCAGCCAATATATAAATACGGTACTAGTCGCATACACCGTACTACATTATGAGAAAACGGGGTTTTAAGTCAATAAAATTAGGGATAAAAACTCGGAAGCCACAAAATTACGGACGTACCGGTATTCAAACAAACCATGGAGGTATAAAACTGAATTAGTCTATTTTCAGCCCCGGGCGGAACTCGTTTCTATTATTAGGCCTAATTGGGCCATTTGGGTGACATAGTTACAATAAGCATTTAAGTGTGAACAAGTAGAATATATAATAACTACTGTAATCTGGAATTACTAAATATGACGTCAGTATGCAGGACGTGTAACCTGAATAAATAATAATGGCTTAACTACGATTAGTTGTTAAATAGATGCAAGATTTACATGACGAGTTGACAATGATAATTGTATTACACTTTTGATTCACCTTGTAACATATGCTACGTGTAAACATAATATCTATAAGTATATGTGTCGTGTACCGAAAGTATAACAATTAAAAAACATGTCACTTTAGAAAAGAAAATTTAAAGGAGTACCGGGTATATTATTTTCAGGGTGACAGTCCGTATGAACTTGGCTTTGAACTTTTTGCAGTAGCGAATCCAGGGTTGGCAAAAATGGCGTAGGACCTACTTTTCTGTTGACTATAGTATTATGTTCGTTTCAAATGTATAAACGCTAACAAAGAAAAATAAAAACACCCACTAATAATAACATTGTGTTAGGCCCAGTCATACTAATTTATACTAATTACCGTCAACAACAACGCTTGTTGACGGTTGATTACGGTAATTAGTATAGTATGACTGAGCCTACTTAAACTACTGAAAATTACTCTGAAATTGTGATAACAAGTTAAAAATAGTTAAAAACGAAATGAATTATAACAAAAACTAAGAAGTCTAAACGTTATATTGGATTGAAATATGCATTTATAACGGTAAATGATAGCTATTCTAGCACAAGTTGTTCAAACCGATTTTGTAAATAATTTGGAAGTGATATTGTTTCCGGATTTTATTCAGGATAAGGTCCCCCCCCCCATCGCCACTCGATCAAGGGACATTAGAATATTAATCGAAAAAAAAATATTACCTAGGCCTAATGTTTCATAATTATTATTCATTCATTCATTCATTTATTCAGAATAACCTCCAACAAGGAGAAGCAAAGAAATACAATCAAAACAATGCAATTGAATTAAAAACGAGCTTGAATAATTAGAAACAGGCATAAAATTCGGACATAACACTCACTAAACATAAGCATGGTTCACGTCGAACTTTTATCTAGATATATATCCACTTAACTAGTTAAAAGTTCGACGTGAACCACTCAATTATAGCTAGATAAAGGAGTTAAGTCACTTAAGTTAAGTGACTTAACTTTACTAGAATAACGGTAAATTAACTTGCTTAAACACATTAAAAATACATTTACAGAATTAATTACAAGAAACAAGGAAATCACATTTCAAATAGGCCGACATTATGTAATAGCGTATATAAATAAGTAATAGGCTTAAGAAGGATAGAAGCTGAGAATTACTCATATTGAACAAGATACAACCCTAAAGTTGTTTTCAGGAAACCATGGAATATACCTTAAGTGTTTTTAAACACCACTCCGAACTCGGCTAGCTTGTGCTTGTAGTCATATATTTCTTCTAAAAAGCAATTCATATAGAATTCACTAAGATGCATAATGATTGATTATACACTGTTAATATTTGAACAGGTAACTGCATTTCTTTTGTACTTTAAACAACTTGGGCTTCCTTCAATCTTTTGATGTTTTTGATAATAATAATAATAATAATGATAATAATAATAATAATAATAATAATAATAAAAACAACAACAACAATAATAATAACAATAATAGTACCAATAATATTCATATATGATAAAAATAATAATAATATAAAGAACGAAAAAATAAATTGGGTTTATGCAAATTTTGTAAAGGAATGCCTTGTTGTATTTAGCAAAACTATTCAATCTCAAATTCTAAAGAGGCTACCAATATCGTAAAATCGTTTAATAGATCAAACAATTGGGAATATGACATCTTAGCGTCACAGTGCGCAGTTGACCAATAAATATGTCTTAAATCTATTTTAAACGCATTCAGCTTCAGTCAGATGTTAAATCCTGGTTGATGTGAACAGCGTCAGCGCATCTGATCATTGGACGCCTGAGTGAAGTTGAATGGAAGATTCAAAGAGAGAGTGAATCACCACACCACGTTAGGCTATCGGATGTACAACATGGAGTGCTCAAAGAGACAGGTATGTGCTTATGTTTTATTTAAAACATCTTTAGGCAGGATAACATATACAGGCGAGATCTTACCGCTGTTTTACAAT